AAAATGCCTATAGATGTTCTTAGGTTAGGTGAAATGTGTTTTCTAAATTAGTTAAGGTGAATCTTTATTGAACTAGTATAGTATAAACTTAACGAGAACGACGACTAAGATATTATTTAAGATGTAATAGTGTACTTTCTTCCTAGAGATGCCTTGCAACTCACGTAGACTGAATTAGTAATAAGTTTGTTTGGGAATAGTAATATTTTTGTAATATGCGAATGGTATAATGACTAGAAAATAAGCATTACACGTGAGTGCTTTATCTAGCTCGTAAAATGTCTCAATGTTCTCTTCTGTTTCTGATTTGTTAGTACAGACGGGCGAAGGTTGTGTTAGGGAGAATGTAAGTGTTTCAACCCTCTGCCAGTCAATAATTTTTGGGAGTGGTTTGAATCGAGCTACAGGGATAAGAAGGGCCAGGATTATATTAATTAAGTACCATATAATAGTATGACTGATTCTGTCTACGAGATTTGGTGAATAGGTTCTTTAAATTGTTTACTACGATTTACTTCAAAATCTGAAGAAAAAAAAGTACTTGAAAATATTTTTGAAGAAACGTGTTCTTATTACAGGGTTTCTTATTTTCTTGTAAATGTGAACGTGTACATTTATTGATGTATAGGATAATCCCCTGTTTAGGCGCGAAAACTGTAAATGCCTACAACTTTTGTTGCAGATCCTAAGTCAGGTATAGCAAAAATCTCTTATACTTTCAGCGAATTTTCAATGATAACACACACACACTAAATATTTAACTATTGTTGTTTTACAATTTTACTCGAGAACAATTTTGCAAACTCAGTATCATCTCCATACACCTCGGGTGCATACTTATAACCTTTCTGTTCATTCCACTTGGTGTTATTCACATTCATTCATTTTCTTTATGCTCACCACCCCTCACGTTACTCGGCGCGCACACGCACCAGCCTCTGTCCCTAGTAGACAGATAACATCGGAGTAGTGAGCCCTCACGCAACAACTACGGTCTTTTAAAGGGAGTCTCAAAATTAAACGAAAAATGTCATTGCCTTCCTTGAAAAAAGTCGAAGTATTCCGAAACATTTTTTCAAAAACAATATTATAGTAAAATAGAAGTACATATGCAATAAAGGTTTCTAAAATTCAACGGTGACAATTATTTTGCAATGACATGTTTTGGTGTTGGGTATAATAATTCATCTTCTTAATGAAGTAGTGCAATTGAATTGTACCATTTTGTTGGAAGACATATGAATCTTAATATAAGTACCATCTTGAGAGTTTTATCCAATAACGAACTCACGATATACTTACGTAGTTACAAAGTAATATGTTAAAATTGCGATTGCGATGACGTATGGAGATAAATGCCTTTTGAAAGGAGATTTTTTTTCAGGAAAATAAAAATATGTGAATAACTACGAAGCCAACGTATTTGTTGCCGGCATATTTAAGATAGTTGATTAGGCATATTTATTACCCATTCTTTACTTAATTTTATCTAATTTTACTGATATTTCTAATTTCTAGTATTTTTTGATATTCTTATGTTGATAATTTATCTAGTTTTTTTGGGTTAAGTTGATGAAGTCATTACTATTTGTACATAAAATTAGTCATATTACATTACATTTACAAAGAAAATGTAATAAAGAAGAGATGAAGATTACGGATGAAGTGCGCACGCGCTGCTGACGCGCGCGGTTTACGCATTTCGGAGTGTTCTTTTCATTCTCGTCATCCTTTTTGCAGCCCATAAGCTGGCGCAGCCTGTCAGGGGGCAGAGTAGGCAACCCGGCGCACGTGGCCGGCGCAGGTGACAGGGTTGTCAAATTCGGTGGAATTCGGCTTTTGGGGCTGAAAAACGTCTCTCCCCTTCCTCTCTTCCTCTCACTACCTCCCTCCCTTCACCTCAAAGCTAGTCATCTTGTTTTCACGATCTGCACTTTCCGTTTAGCCATAGGGAATACGCATGCATTTGTAAGCATTTCTGTGGTAATATTTTTAAGTTCCGATGTTCAAGAGAGTGAAAGTGGAGAAAGTATTTAAAACATTGCTATTTAAAGTGGGGAAAAATATGATTTTAAAGGTGAGTCGATACTGATTGGTTCTAACCTTCTCTAATATCTAGATATAACTTATTATTACAAACGTTTTCACATAAAACCTTCGTAACAATGTTCAAAAACAAAAAATAAAACTAAACAAGCATTTCATAGAATCACTATCTCAAAAATCTGCAAATATTGTAAATACTGTATTATTTTAATGCAAATTCAAATTTTTCGCTTCGATAGTTGATTTTTTTATTGAGCGATTTTGCAGCCATCTAACGGCGGATGACGGCGTTTTTGTACGAAGCATTTGGCAACCCTGTCAGGTAAGCAAGGTGGCAGCCGTGGGCCACACGGGCCCAGTCAGCGCTGCTCCGCATAAACTGCGCGGCGCGGCCCGCGGGGAAGGTCGCCCGCTGGGAGCAGCCCCTCCGAGGCAGGAGGAGGCACAGCGCTGCACCCGGCCAGGCCGGGCCTCTCCATTATGACGTCACGCGCGAGAAGCGAGTGTTATGACTCCGGATTCAGGGGTGGCTGGCCAACGCTTTTTATTCTTTCTTAGGGTAGATGTCACGGGTAAAATTGAATCATTTATTAATCATTTTGTGTTTCTGGACGCCACAACTTTCCCGCTAGTGTAGTTCATGTTATATTCCGTCGTGGTTGTGGTGACGGCGTTGGTGTTCCCCTTTGGAATGTGAGCTTCCTCCTCTGGTAGTGATAGTGGGAGCTCAAAACCTCTGGCACTTCTATGTGGATATAAGAGAGGAATTGCGTTTTATATTTTGATTCACGTTTACTCAGCCAATATAGTTCCTGTCTAATAGCACGAACTCACGGTTCCATCCTCTATGCCGGAGGTAAGAAACGAAATAGCTTCTAGAACGTCGCTGAAAAGCGCTATCCGCCTCTTGCTTAATGAAATTCATTGTTTACGAGGCTAATAAGGGCAATGTTGAGGATCACGGCCCATGGAGGCGGGTTTCAGAATTTGTGGCATTTTAGCTCCCAGGCCTCACACTTTTCTAAACTCTTGCGAATTACTAAACCTTTAATAAGTCGCTGCACATTGTTGAATTAATTTAAAAAAATCTGTTTTATATAGAAATAATTTACAAAATTCACGAATGACGAAGGAGTGAATTACTTTGTAATATTCAATAATAGGAGTGGGCGTTATTAGTAGTGGTTCTAGAACAGGACACACTTTCTCATTATTTGTTATGGGCAATCATAATACGAGTACTACTCAAAACCACGAAAGCGTTTTGAACCCGCAAACGTTTTGCCCACGATGGTATTTGAACTCAACTATTTAGAATTAGCAAGCTATGAGCATTTCCATTATTCCGAATTCTTCACACAAAATAACTAATATACTAAAGTATGGCGTTAATTTTTAAAACTGTGGTTCTGTTGAATGTGAGGCAAAATTTAATTGTACATTTTTACTAACCTATCTAACACATTTAGTTGAATTCACCGACAATTAAGAATACATATTTTTTACCGATGTACATAACACGTAAATTGTAAATATCAATTTATTGACGACTAATCTATATCTTGTCGGGGCACTGAAAAATATGCTTAAAGTCCAATTCCTGATGATGGTGACAATGATGATTGTAGGGGTTGTGGGTGAGTTGCTGTATATAAGTGGAAGAGGTGATAGTGGTGGAGGAGGGAAGTTTTGGGTGATGGCGGGGAGACGTGTGAGTGGGAATAATGTATCTAGTGGAACTGTTGGAGGGAGGTAGTCTTGGTGGGGGATAAAGCTGGGAGTATAGTGCAATAATGGGGATGGTGTAGAGGGCATGGTAGGCTGAGGCTGGCTTGGGGATAGTAGGGGGGAAATGATAGTGGGAGTCTTTGTAAAGTGGTAGAGTTAGTGATAGTGAAAATGGTAGAGGTAATGGTAATGATAATCAGTAGTTAGTAGTAAGATAATGGTAGTGGTAGTTGTAATTGGGGGTTGTTATGATGGTTGCGGATTGATGTTTCCATTCACGTAAACTGCAGTAAGTACCTTTTCAGCTTGAAGATGGTGGTGTTCCTTCAACTGAAGGGTCAAATCACGCACTGACCTACACGTCGGCTTGTGGAGATTTCCCTCGCCAGGTATCTAAAGGGGGATTCACCAGCCGGGGCAAGCTCTAAGCTTCTCACTGCTCTCCCGTCACGTGCGGTAGTGTAGCACACTTAAGTGTAAGTGTGTGTAAGGAGGAATGCGGATAGGACAAGGAAGAGGAAGGGAAGCTCGAGCAATTTTCGGGACTCGTTTTAGGGAACTGCGCCGTAATTCACGTGGTTTTTATTAAAGAAACCACACCGGCTCACGTAGCTCAGGGCATGAACAGTGTCTCTGACCGTGAGGTTCTAAGGTTGCAGTGCCGATGATGACAGGATATTCGAATCTAGCAAATTACTAAGTCAAATTTGGGCGCTGTCTGGTGGAGAAGTCTATCGGTCGGCTGCTACGATTGGTGATTTTCCGTGGTAGTACCCTAACGAACGAGCCACGGGTCGTGAGCTATCATTCCTTCCTCCTCCTTGTCCTATCCTCATCACTTACCTACACACTTCCCCGCGCTACAATACCAAATATATCGGGCGACCAGATGTGACCAGATGGGAACCAGATATGAAATACGTGGTTGGGGAGATCCCCGCAAGCCTATGGGTAGGCGCCGGATCTCGGCATCGAGCAAGAGATGTCCACCGTCACCTCCCGCGATAAAAAAAATACTTCACTTACAGGACTAATTACCTTAGCCGTTGACGCGCCTGAAATCAATGAATCGATGGGAGGAACCACAGAAAACGTAACGATAGAGCGTCCGGCGTTTAAGCAGTGGCTGGATGAAATCCAGCTAGAGCAGAAAATGCGAGAGCGAACCCTTCGGGAGGGCATCGCCGGAGCGTGGTGGGACGGGGGAGGGAGGGAGCAGCACTCACCGGCAGCGGGCGGCTGCGCTCGTCCGTGAGCGCGTCCTGCACGGCGAGGCGGCCGGCGCGCGCCACCGTCTGCAGCACCAGCACGTACTGGCCCAGCGCGCGCCGCGCCCACGGCCGCGCCGGCAGCAGCGCCAGCGCCAGGGTCTCGTGCGACTCCACCGGCCGCGCCACCGCCCACTCGAACGTCTGCGCAACAAAACAAACAAAACGTTTTCACTCGCACATTCGGCGTTCGAGCTGCTGCTCGCCCCTGCCGGAGCAGATGATGTGTTCGCTCCCTGCGATGTGTCCTCAAGGCGGCTTCCACACATTCGGCATTCGCCAAGCTGCGAGGTACTGCTATTAAATAAACAAATATATAATATAACCCCGGTAATCCAAACTAATTGGATGTGTGGTCTGTTCGGATTCGGAAATGTTTGGATTATCCGAAAAAAAGGAACCGTACTTTTACAAATACATACACTATGTGATCAAAATTATCCGGACACGTCCAAAATGGTGGTATGGTGTGGTCGTATTTTTCATGGAGGAGGCTTTCACCCTTTATTGTTTTGTGTGGCACTATCACAGCACATGCCTACGCTGGTGTTTTAAACACCTTCTTGCTTCCCATTGCTGAAGAGAAATTCGGGGATGGCGATTGAATCATTCAACACGATCTAGCACCTGTTTTTACTGCACGGCCTGTGCAGTATGGGTTACATGACAAAAACATCCCTGAAATGGACTAGCTTGCACAGAGTCCTGACTTGAATCCTATCGAACACCTTTGGGATGATTTGGATTGCCGACTTCGTGTCAGGCCTCACCGATCTACATCTATATCTCTCGTCAGTCCAGCACTCTCTGAAGAATAGACTGCCATTCCCCAAGAATCCTTCCAGCACCTGATTGAAAGTATGCCTGCGGGAGTGGAAGCTGTCATCAAGGCTAAGAGTGGGCCCACACCCTGTTGAATTCCATCATTACCGATGGAGGACACCACGAACTGGTAAGTAATTTTAGGCAACATGTCCGGATACTTTTGATCACATAGTGTATATGGGATTACCAGACAATGCAACGTAGCAAGATATGTGAGAAAATTGCAAGGTAGCTTAGCGATCGCATCACCTTATTACATCGCATCATCAAGAAGATTCAGTTTCTTTCTGTAAAATAAGGTTACCGAAAGTTTGTTAAGTGAAAACTGCTGTTACATAAAAATGTGATATACGCCGCAGTTACCAGTATAATTAAAGTTTAATTTCGAAAACTTGTGTTTCAGTAATTAGTAGTTCAGTTTAACAGTAGTTAAAAAGTCATTCTTTACACTACAAATAAGTATTTTATTTATTTTGTCTATTTTTCGCCCATCCCGAATTTTGTTCGGATTATACAAAATTTCGAATTTGCGGGGTTAGGATTACCGAGTTTTTACTGTAGTTATTGGTAGATTTTATATTTATTGTAAATATTTTGTCATTGGTTTAAAATAATTTAATATATTGTGTAATAAATATTTTACAAATATTATTGTAATTCTTAGTAATAGTAGTGTTATGCCATCACTTTGCATAAACCTTCCTGCACAAATAATAAATATATATTATCATTTAAGAAACAATAAATCAAGAGAAAAAATTGAACTTTTACTCAGCCGAATTTCGATGTTTTGCCGTTAAGCAAAAGGTAGTGGAACCTAAATGTTCTTTTACTTGCTTTTATTGAACACTTTTATAATCTAAACACGAAATAGTATTAGTATCCAAATATTCATTGAATGGTCAGATAGCTGTCGTCATTTGTCCATTATTCCGCTGTGATATCACTACTATTCACTCGTAATAAATGTATACCATTATATACTTGTATCTAATTGGGACTGTAGTTACCTTTTATCCCTTCCATACAACTTGATATCATTCATGTTGAGGAAGACAGAGAATCTAGATCTCTTCTTCCATGTTTCAAAACCGATTTGGGTCTGGTGCAGGTTTGTTGCGACGGATTTGGAGTTGCCATAAGATACTGATTCTCCCTTGAATATCCCTCGGCGGTCTTGATATTTTCTAGAAGCTGTGTCTGAACTAAAATGCTCGTTTTTCAGAAATGTATACATGTTTTATGCGTTAATAAAAATATCATTAAGTAGTACCTCGTGATATCTTTACTAACGCTTACAACTTCTGGGCTGTTCACTATGGAAGAGTCGTACAACTTCCAGAAATACCTTCCAAATTCAATGTTACGATATGAAAATATAAAATGTTATACGAGTTGAATGAATTAACAAAGAGCAATTCAGGGATGTAGCGTCGGTTATCACGGAGGGGAAGATTTGGTGGGGGAGGTAGGATCGAGTTGGTGAGAGATTCACGCCTGAATGCAGGCCGGAAATATTAACGTAAAATTCTCGTTTTTAAACCCAATTAGTAACAACTTCAGGATATTGAAAGTTGACGAAACCTTGGAAAAAGTACTCCAGCAAATTAATTGGAAGTTCTATTCTAAGGAACATGATATCCACGGAAGCGAAGAAGGTAACATTTGCTGAGTGATTCTGAATACATAATTTCATGAACAATACATTTGATGGTGTTTGAACTTAAAGTATTACCCCTTTTAAATTACCCCAAGAGAGATGCCAACGAATAGCGACGTATGGTGAGTGGCAATGCAGCTGCAGCTGAATTAATTCGCGTCAAGATCGCGCACATTCACGTGTGCATACGCTGTTGCGAGCACTTTGGGTTATGCAGATTCGTAACACCCAGATCGCCATCAAAACCTATTGAAAACGCTACATTTTGAAGGGTGGAAAAGCTCAATTTTGAAGGGTCTACATTACACTTGCAGCGTAAATAGGAACTTTGCTACTGGCGTTGTAAAAATATAACCCTTCAACAATGCCCGTCTTGACCAAATTCGTTATTCTCTTAGCCAGGGAATGACGTAATAAACGGAAAAATGAGACCGTTGTTGTGTCAGCATCTAGGAGAGAGGGGGTCGGAATCGAAATCGTCTGTCGAAAATCGAAAATTGACATTGGATGTCACTTTTATCAAAATAATGAAGACGGTTAGAAGTCACAATTCTTCAAACCATACCCTCCATATTTCATAGGGAGAAAATATTTCTGGGTCGTCATTGGGGTCACTTGAAAGGATAATCACGTTGGGAAAACATTTACTAATTAATTTAACATTACAAAACAGTAACAATTTTGTATGATTTTCCTGGGCTAAAGCTCCAGTTTTATTCATACGCAATACAAGGGGCAATCTCAGTACTTTCAAAACGATCAATTAAATCAATAGAGTGCACTGAAAATAACAGGACATAAAATCATGAAATGTAAGCTTTTCTGTATGCATTTTGTTGTAAACAACACGAAGACTAAACTACATTATCATGTTTACGTGTTTAATAAAATATTAATTTATCATTGTGATGAAAGGAATTACTACTATTGATTTTAACTCCTAATATGCTCTTTGATCTCTGCAACAGCCTGAAAACCGTTCATTGGTGTATCATCCACTTGTTTTTAACATATACGGATAATATACTCACTGTACTACCTAGTACGTTCTCGAATATTATGAACATTGTACTCCGCTTTCATCAAAGACTCAAAGGCTGCCCGTGGAGTAGCACGTTCTTCACAAAGAGCTTTTCCATTCGTTTCCCTTAACAACCTCCAAGGTTTGATCCAGTAGTTTATTTCTCTGGTGCACGATATCGCGATACGGGCGCATTGATTGCCAGCGGATTATTTTATTGAGCTAGTCACTATTAGGACTCTCGATGCGTTCTGCTATGTTGCAATATAAATGTTCACTTCAGTTAATTCACGTTACATGTTATATAGATGAAGTTCAATACTGCATGTAGCACAGCGTCCTTCAACCTGGGGATTTATGTGAACGCGTTGCGATTTATGTGAGACAGACACACGGATGGACGTACTGACGAACGAACAGGGTGAAAGACAGGCAGGCAGACCGACTCACAGGTCGAAGGACCGGGAAACGGGCAGACAGGCAGGCTGACAACCCGACAAACTGGTAAGCTTGCTGGCAGACAGACAGGCAGACGAATAAACAGACAGACAGAGACTGGCGGGCTGGTAAAAAATGGTCGTTTTTCGTTGCAGCAATACACAGCTTTCTTGATATTACGTAATAGTATGTGGGAAATTGAAAAGAAAGAAAGAAAAATCAAAACATGTAAAGAAGACTATTCCTATTTATAGAAGATAACTGCATTCTCAGCAGGCGGCGGCACCAGTTATCTTTCTAGCAGGAATTCTTATTTGAGATCCTCACTGTTTCTCTTTACAATGTAAGAAAAAATTGAATGTCTATGCTTTTACCTGCTTTTAAATCAAGAAATTATTTTGAAACATGAAAATATCTTTGCAATTTTTACCGAGAAAAATACTTTCTTTCTTGTGAGCAATATATCTGAAAAATCACGGAAATACGCAGTATAATGTAACTAACATTATAAATTGGAATATATTTCATTGTAGTCGGTCTCAAATCAAATATCACATTGTAGATATAGTCAATTGTTTGCGTTAATTTAGCCAATAAATTTAGTTAATGTTCCTAGCTAATGATTGAATTTAAGTTTATATTACATTTATATAAACAAAAGGAAAATTATAGAAAGTGAAAATCATTTTACACGCAACCAAGGTATCAAGATTTCATAAATTCATGGTCATTGGTCCCCGTACTTGAAATTTTAAGAGAGTTGCTAATGAAGGAAACCTATTTTATGAAGTTAGCTTAATCGAGTAATATTCATACCAGACTTCGTATCTCGAAGTTAACGGACGTACTAACTTTAACTTTCATGGAAGTTTATCATCTATTTTTGCCGACAGCATGTGTTTGCGATAGAATCCACACCTCGGATCGCATGTACTTGCGTCAATATTCAAAACATTCTTGAGGAACGGATGACATTCTGCAATGCTCTTTGACATCAGCTGATATTTTACTTTGAGAAAAGCCTCTCAGAAGTACCAACGTGACAAATCCATTCCTGCTTTTTGAGTTTGTTATTAACATTAGTTTTAATTGCTGACTAATACTTCACACACAGGACACAAACAATATTGAGTTTCTCTGAATACGCTTTGTCATGTGCATCATAGTGTATAATTCACGAAAAATTTTGAATTTTTAAGT